GTTTTTTTTTTTTTTAAGAAACATTTAATACTTTAGAAGTTTTAATTGGATTTTAATAGTTTTTTCACTGGCTTGGATCAGTATCAGAGTTCTGATATTAATTAATGGTGGGGGTTTTGACTATAAATGTGACTTCTGTTAAACTGTAATGCAGTTAGAACTTGCAAACCTGTAACTTTCTTTGAGCCTTGACAAATACCGATGCTGGGGATACAGTTGCAAATGCTTGAGTGTAATCGTATGTTATAAAACCAAATAGGAATGTCTTTTGAAATTGATTTAATTTCCAATCATGCCAAGGTTTGACCACGGGCTTTGATTACATTTCTTGAGCCTGTTGGACACCTTCACCTTCTTTAAGGTCTAATGGTGTACACCTGAGTTGGAACTGCCTGAAGCATGTGGTGGTGGGTAGTGTAAAGATGTTGTAGAAATGTGGTGTGGTTGGAAAAAAATGCACAATTAAAGACAAAAATAAATGAAGGTGAAGCAGGTTGCTACTGAGGGTGTTTGTCCTGTCTGTTTTGGGGGGCACTGAAACAAAGCAGTCATGCTGGGTTATGCTGGTGTTAAATGCAGTGGGGTTTGGAGGAGTTTTGTCCCAGCACTTGTGCTGGTATCCTGACTAACACACAAGCCTTCACCTCCTTGTGCTGTGGCTGGTCTGACACGCTGCCCCACCTGCACAGCCATGTGAGGCAAACATATGTGCTGCTGGGTGCGAGGGGGTGCTCACACAGACATTCTCCCTCCCTCTTGCCACCTCCTGTCCTCTGGCAGGGGGAGGTACTGCTACAGGAACTCAGGAAGGTGTGGACTGGTGCTGCTTGCTGAGGGGAGTGCTGCTGCAGCGTGCCCACAGGTTATTCAGTAGCCAGTGCACACCTCCCAGCTGCCCCGGAGAGGAGTTTAGGGACCCAAGACAACACTGGGTAACGAAACCGTGACATGGAGGACTACCTCCAAAAGCCCTGCTGGGATCTGCCCTCCAGCTAACCCCTCATGCCACTTTCCTAGGCCTTGCAATGCCCCAAAGGCCTTCTGTGCTTAGCGGGAAGGCAGGTTACTGGGGAGCTGCAAAGGAAGCACTGGGGAAGTTAAGACCTGTTACTGGAACCATCATCTGCCCTTCCCAGACACCTTGTCTCCTCCTCTAACAGAATCACAGAATCAATTAGGTTGGAAAAGACCTCTGAGGTCATCAAGTCCAACCTCTGACCAGCTTGTCAGCTTGACGTCTAGTCTTTTCTTAAACAGCTCCAGGTGACTCCAGCACCTCCCTGGGCAGCCCATTCCAATGTTTAAGAACTCCTGTGAAGAAATTCCTCTTGATGTCCAACCTAAATGTCCCCTAATACAGCCTGGGGCTTTGTCCTCCTGACCTATCTCTAGTTGTCTGGGAGATGAGGCTGACCCCCACCTGCCTACAACCTCCTTTCAGGGAGTTATAGAGAGTGATGAGGTCTCCCCTGGGCCTCCTTTTCTGCAGGTTGAACAACCCCAGCTCCCTCAACTGCTCCTCATAGGACTTGTGCTCCAGACCCTTCCCCAGCTCTGTTGCCCTTCTGTGGACACTCTTCAGCACCTCAGTGTCCTTCCTGAATTGAGGGGCCCAGAACTGGACACAGAACTGGAGGTGTGGCCTCACCAGTGCTGAAGACAGAGGGACAATCCCGGCTCTGGTTCTGGTGGCTGCGTTATTTCTGACACAGGCCAGGATGCCACTGGCCTTCTTGGCCACCTGGGCACACTGCTGGCTCATGTTCAGCTTCCTGTTGACAAGCACCCCCAGGTCCTTTTCCATTGGGCACCTTTTCAGCCACTCTGCCCCCAGCCTGTAGTGCTGCATGGGGTTGTTGTGGCCCAAGGGCAGTACCTGTCACTTGGCCTTATTGAACCTCACACCATTGGCCTCAGCCTATCAATCCAGCCTGTCCAGATCCCTCTGCAGAGCCTTCCTAACCTCTGGATCAACACCCACCCAACTTGATGTCTGCAAAGTCACTGAGGGTGCACTTGATTTCCTCATCCAGATCATCAGTAAGGATATTGAACACGATTGGGCCCAACACTGATCCCTGGGGAACTCCCCCTAGTGATCAGACACCAACTGGATGTGACACCACTCACCACCACTCACTGGGCCTGGCCACCCAGCCAGTTTTTAACCCAGAGAAGAGTGCACATGTCTAAGCCATGGGCTGCCAGCTTTTCCAGGGTAATGCTGTGGGAGACAGTGTCAAAGGCTTTACTTAAGTCCAGGTAGACCACATCCACAGCCTTTCCCTCATCCACCAGGTGGGTCACTTGGTGTAAAAGGAGATCAGGTTGGTCAGTCAGGACCTGCATTTCCTAATCTGTGCTGGCTGGGACTGATCCCTTGGTTGTTCACTCTAGATGATCTGTTCCATAAACTTGCCAGTAGTCACCAAGATCAGGCTGACAGGCCTGTAATTCCCCAGATCCTCATTCCAGCCCTTCCTGTGGATAGGCATCGCATTGGCCAACCTCCAGTCGTCTGGGACCTCCCCAGTTAGGCAGGACTGATGACAAATGATGGAAAGTGGCTTGATGAGCTCTTCTGCCAACTCCCTCAATACCCTCAGGTAAATCCTGTCCTGTCCCAGAGACTTGTGAGTGTCTTAGGTGCCACAGCAGGTCACTACTTCCTTCTGGATTGCAGGGTGTCTATTCTGTTCCCCACCTGGGTCTATCAGCTCAGGGGGCTGGTGGTCCTGAGGATAACTGGTCTTTCTCCTTAGACTGCGGCAAAGAAGGCATTAAGTACCTCAGCCTTTTCCTCATCCTTGCTGACCATGTTCCCCCCTGCATTCAATAAAAGATGGAGATTTTCCTTGACCCTCCTTTTGTTGTAATAAAACCACTTTTTATTATATTTCACAGTGGTGCCCAGATTGAGTTCTAACTGAACTTTCACCTAATTTTCTCTTTACATGGCCCAACAACATCCTTGTACTCTTCCTGAGTTGTCTGCCCCTTCTTCTAAAGGTCATAAGCTCCTTTATTTCCCCTGAGTTCCAGCGAAAGCTCCCTGTTCAGCCAGGCCTGTCTTCTTCCACAACTCATCTTTCAGCACATAGGGACAGCCTACCTAAAGCATATCAAGTCTTCCTGGGCCCTTTTTTTATTAAGGACTGTTTTCCAAAGGACTCTTTGAACCAGTGTCCAGAATAGGCCAAAGTCCACTCTCCAGAAGTCCAAGGTAGAGGTTTTGTTGATTCCCTTCCTTAGTTTACCAAGAATCAAAAACTATCATTTCATGGTCTGTGTGCCCAAGATGGCCTTTGACCATCACATGTGCCACCAGCCCTTCTCTGTTCATAAACAGCACGTCCAGTGGGGCACCACTGGTAGGCTCATGTTGTGGTTTAGGAATGATGTTCCCCAATCGTGTTTCCACTGAAACACTCCAAACCATGCACAGCTCACTCATTTCCCCCTCCCCCTGCACTGGGATGGAGAGGAGAACTGGAGTCACAAAAGGTAAAGATCACAGGCTGAGATAACAACAATTTACTGGAACCAGCAACAGCAACTGAAAGGAACAGTAACACGCCACTATTAGTAAGAGTGTGCAGTGTGCAAGAGAGACGAGCGATTCCCCCACGAGTACTCACCATGAGGAACACGGTGTTATCCCGCCTGGAAGGGACCCCCTTCTGCCCACCCCCTGTCCCCCTGTGTATGGACTGAGGTGGTGTCTAGGTCCTCGTCCTGCCCCTCCTGGATACTGCAAAAATGAACCCTGTCCTGGCAGGAATCAGGACAAGTTGCTTACCATCAGGAAGATATCTTCCACACACTCCAGGAACCTCCTAGACTGCCTCCTCACCAGCAGACATCCCACAAGTTAAGTGTCTCCCACAAAACCAAGGTTAGCAACCACAAAATGTCAGCCAGCTCCTTCATCTGCTTCTTCATCCTGGTTGGGTGGTCTATAACAGACTCCTACCAGGATGTCTGCCTTGTTAGCCTTCCCCCTCATCCTTATCCATAGGCACCCAACCTTACCATCACTGTCTTTGAGCTCTGCAGTCAAAACACTCCCTGAAGTACAGAGCCACGCCACCCCTCTCCTTCCCTGTCCGTCCCTTCTGAAGAGCTTATAACCATCACTGCAGCACTCCCGGTGTGGGACTCATCCCCCATTTCCGTGATGGCGAATACATCATAGCTTTCTGCACAGCCAGTGGCCCATGCTCCCCAGAGACGTCTCTCAAGACTTCCCTGAGATCCACCATATTTACCATGGTTAACAAATGCAGAGCCACTACCTAGAACATGTGCCTGCCCTTCAGCCACTTCCACATGCATTCCTCAACAGGGGCAAGAATGAAGATTTGAACTTGGAAGTAAATCCAAGTAAATCCACCCTCTACTGAAAGCAAACATCATTCAGGTGCACTTAGAGAGCTCTACCTTGGAATGGTACTTCCTTCCCCCCCTTGCCCCTGAGGACAGGTATTTATCCTTGCCTTCGTCTCTGGTCTGAAAGTTGGGAAAAAGAAAAAAAGAAGTAGAGGATATCCTTAGGGACTCTCCCCGTGAAATATGGTAGACACATTTCAGAACCTCCCTAGGAGCAGGCAGCTTTCTTTTTGAGCGAGAATTCTCCTTCATGGAGTTGTGTCTCCAAGCTAAAGGAGAACCTGCCTCAACAGTCTCCAGCCACCCTAAGTGCTGCTTTATCAGCTCACTGTCCTCTGCCCACCCATGACCAGTAACTGAAAAAACAGACAAAAGTCAGGACAAAATACGGAGCATGGAGTCTTCCTCCTCTGACAGGAGCAAGCCAGCAGTGGAATGTTCACCTTCATTTCATCAGCATATCAAGTACAATGATACAAACTTATCTTTTGGCCTAGGAGATACCAATTTTTGAACTGTTGCAAATGTGTTATATTCTACTCTAAGATCTAGCTTAAAAGCCAAAGCTTACTGTTCTGTACAGTGCTTCTTACAACTGAAAAATGTAACTCTTTACAGAATTTGGCAACAGCTTGGTCATAATTAGCATTTATTTGACTTTAATAAAAAATACCATTAAAAACAAAACAAAAAAACAAAACACCAAAAAAACCCCAAAACCCAGATTAACGCTACATCTTCTCGTAAGTTAATTCATGGCCACATACAGTGCATGTCTTTTTATATGTGTCTTCATCTATGTTTTCTTCTGGTCCATACTCATGTTCATGGATAGTAGCCGCTTTCTTCCATAAACTACTCCTCACAGCTCGGCGCAGTTCTAAAGAGATATACAAGAAAATGTTAGGATTTTAATAAATCTTAAATAACGTTTAATAAAACTCAAGCTAACCACCTTTCTGAGGCCTACAGATGACAAAACGCTTGCTGCCTGTCTTCCATAAATTTTGGGCAAGTATCTGCTCTTGCAAGAACAAGCTCTGACTTGCCTGGCAATCCTCACCTTGTCTGCTGTTTTCAAGGCTAAGAACTACACTGGCATAGGATCTCACAGGCAAAGATTTTCCATCTGGACTAAGGACGTGTTGCTCACTGCCTTTTTACAAGAAGCCATTCAAAGGTATCCAAAAGGAGTTGGTGAAATGCAAAGGAAAAGTTTTTATAGAACACCTCATTTATTTTACATGACCAAGAGAGAGTCATTTTCATTCAGGTCACAGTGAGCCTCCCAAATGACTTGGCATTCTCTAAGCTTTATGCCCAATAATATGAGTTGCCTCTGCAGCATCTGCAGTGAAATCTGCAGGTTCTCCAGAGCGCACAGGCTGGCAGCAGAGCCCAAGATATCTTCCGGATGTTGCAAGCGGGTGGCAAGCATACTGAAGAGCAAAACGTGGTCACATTTCGAGCCAAGCCATTCAGGCTGCAAACTTCGTCACGTTAAGGCCTGTACTTGCACTGAACTCTGGCACCTTGGCTACAGCCTGCTGCCAGTGCGTCTGTGCGCAGAACACCAATGGCCCAGAGGGGTTATTTGTGCAGCCTCAAGTTCTGCCTCCTCCAGACAACACCAGTACACCCAGCTGGAGCTTTCTGCCCCCACAAGTGTGGACCCAAAGGGAAACAGGGATGCTACAGGTCACAAAGAAAAGTTCCATCCATCAAATACTCTTCCTAAATACTAAGTTCTCGGGAAAAAACCCAAGGATAATGTGCAGTAAAGACAGCGGTGGGGAATGAAGTGAGCAATGCTGGGAAAAGGCATTTTCTACTCTCATTTACGGTCACTCCACCCAGGGGCCTATCTATGACAGAAATGCCATAAAAACCTATGTCCTCCACAAGTCAAACGAAACAGGAACAATCCATGGCACATTCTGGGTCGTACCAAAAAATTAGAAGAACACCAAAATGAACCATCATAACTGATTTGTCACATCACGTCCACAGGACAATAGGGTAACTCAGGTTGGAAGGGATCTCAATCCTACAGTCCAACCCTCTGCCCAAAATAGTCAGCTATGAGCTCACACCAGACTGCTCTAGTCTCATCTAGTTCTTGAAAAACTCCATTTTGCCACCCTGAAGACTTTCTCAGTACCTTAATCAGATGCAGACACAGATTCAAACAAAACTGTACTTAATCTCAGGTACTGCAGTATATAACTTTAACCCTTTACCTTTAACCTTCTTATCAAACTTCTTCTGTTTCATCTTCTCTCTGCTGTCACGGCGGAGCTCCTTTGCTTCTTGCAATGCGTCTTCGCTACCCCACACTTCAAGTGAACGCTTGATTACCTACAGGATGGACATAAATGTCTTTTTTCCCCCCAAAATGATAAAAGTAAACTACTCTAACTTGCAAATTGCCAACGCAATCTTCTTCTGCCTCTGCTCTTGACCAACAAAATACTGCATTCCTTCCACAAGAAGAGGCAACACTGATTTTTAGTGTCAGCTGGATGTAACCTGGGACTTCCCCGGTTAGGCAGGACTGATGATAAAGTTAAACCCAGCTCTAATTTAGCACATATTTCACTAAAGCAATAGCATTCCTATAAAAGTAGCAAACAAGAAATGACAAGAGTCCTGGAAAATCCGAAAATCCACTTGCTTTTCCTGCTGCCTCTGAGGGCAGAGCTGTGAACACAGCTACAAGAGGAGCAGCAGTTGCCCCATGCACTTCAGAGTAGCACCGAAAGGCCACGTGCTTCGTGACTTGGAATTGTGCAACCCACTGAACCTGCGCTCCATGAGCATTTTCAAAATGCTCTCAAACGCAGACATTTTCAAAAATTTGGACCACAACCACCTAACTCTAACAAGCTATGCATA